AGCTGCAGTCAGAGCACAACGTTGAAGACAGATGTGTTACCGACAGCCACAGGAATTAGTTAAATGATTTCATGGTCTTAGGTGAAGGGTGAGACAAAGAACGGTTCGAAGGATCTTTCATGGCGGTTAAAACGAAGAGTCGGAGTACCCGGCCCGGAGGGTTACCGGGGTCCCACCCTGGAGCCAGGCCTGGGGTTGGGGCCCGTGAGCGAGCGCCTGGTGGCCGGGCTTTCGCCCATGGGGCCCGGCCGGGCCCAGCCCGAACCGGATACATGGGCTCGTCCAACTGTGGACCAACCACCCGCAGGAGGAACATGAAGGGTCCGGTGCAATGCGAATCGGGTGGCAGACCAAGGCGGGAGCCTTGGCGGTCCAATCCCCGGACAAGAAAACTAGTTTTTGGGACATGGAACGTCACCTCGCTGGCGGGGAAGGAGCCGGAGCTTGTGGCAGAGGTTGAGCGGTACCGGCTAGATATAGTCGGACTCACCTCGACACATTGCATTGGCTCTGGAACCCGAGACCTGGAGAGGGGTTGGACACTCTACTTTGCTGGAGTTGCTCCGGGTGAGAGGCGGAGGGCTGGGGTTGGCTTTTTGTTAGCCCCGAGACTCTCTGCCTGTGTGTTGGGGTTTACCCCGGGGGACAAGAGGGTAGCTTCCTTGCGCCTTCGGGTCGGGGAACGGGTCCTGACTGTTGTTTGTGCTTATGGGCAAAATATCAATTCAGAGTACCCACCCTTTTTGGAGTCCCTGGGACGAGTGCTAGATAGTGCTCCATCAGGGGACTCCATTGTCCTGCTGGGGGACTTCAATGCTCACGTGGGCAATGACAGCTTGACCTGGAGGGGTGTGATTGGGAGGAACGGCCCACCTAATCAGAACTCGAGCGGTGTTTTGTTATTGGACTTCTGTGCAAGCCGCAGTTTGGCCATAACGAACACCATGTTCGAACATAAGGATGCCCACCGGTACACTTGGTACCAGGGCAGCCTAGGTCACAGGTCGATGATAGATTTTGTAGTTGTATCATCTGACCTGCGGCCGTATGTTTTGGACACCCGAGTGAAGAGAGGGGCGGAGCTGTCAACTGATCACCACCTGGTGGTGAGTTGGATCAGATGGCAAGGGAACATGCTGCGTAGACCTGGCAGACCCAAATGCATAGTGAGGGTCTGCTGGGAACGCCTGGCAGAAGAACCTGTCAAGACGGTCTTCAACTCCCACCTCCGGCAGAGCTTTGACCACGTCCCGAGAGCAGTGGGGGACATTGAGTCCGAGTGGGCCTTGTTCCACTCTGCGATTGTCGAGGCGGCTGTTGCTAGCTGTGGTCGTAAGGTGGCCGGTGCCAGTCGTGGTGGCAACCCCCGTACCCGCTGGTGGGCACCAGAGGTTCGGGGAGCCGTCAGGCTGAAGAAGGAGGCCTACAGGGCGTGGCTGGTCTGTGGGTCTCCGGAGGCAGCAGACAGGTACCGGATAGCCAAGCGGGGTGCAGCAGTGGCAGTTGCCGAGGCAAAATCTTGGGCGTGGGAGGAGTTTGGTGAGGCCATGGAGAAAGACTATCGATCGGCTCCAAAGAGGTTCTGGCAAACTGTCCGGCGCCTCAGGAGAGGAAGGCAGCAACTCGCTCACACTGTTTACAGTGGGGATGGGGAGCTGCTGACGTCAACTGAGGCTATAGTCGGACGGTGGAAGGAATACTTTGAGGAGCTCCTCAATCCCACCAATGCGCATTCCGAGGAGGAACCAGAGCTGGGAGGCCTGGGGATGGACTGTCCGATCTCGGGGGCAGAAGTTGCTGAGGTAGTCAAACAACTACACAGCGGCGGAGCCCCGGGGGCGGATGAGGTTCGTCCTGGGTATCTCAAGGCTATGGATGTTGTAGGGCTGTCATGGTTGACACGTCTCTACAACATTGCGTGGTCATCGGGGGCAGTTCCTAGGGAGTGGCAGACCGGGGTGGTGGTCCCCATCTTTAAGAAGGGTGACCTGAGGGTGTGTTCCAACTATAGGGGGATCACACTCCTCAGCCTCCCTGGAAAGGTCTACTCCAAGGTACTGGAGAGGAGGGTCCGATCGATAGTTGAATCTCAGATAGAGGAGGAGCAATGTGGTTTTCGTCCTGGCCGTGGAACTGTGGACCAGCTCTATACCCTTGCAAGGGTGATGGAGGGGGCATGGGAGTTTGCCCAACCAATCCACATGTGCTTTGTGGATTTGGAGAAGGCTTATGACCGTGTCCCCAGGGTCACCCTGTGGGGGACGCTCCAGGAGTATGGGGTGGGTGGCTTTCTGTTAAGGGCCATTCAGTCCCTTTACCAGAGGAGCGTGAGTTTGGTCCGCATAGCCGGTAGTAAGTCGGACCTGTTCCCAGTGAGGGTTGGACTCCGCCAGGGCTGCCCTTTGTCACCGGTTCTGTTCATCACTTTTATGGACAGAATTTCTAGACGTAGCCGTGGTGTGGAGTGTGTCGAGTTTGGTGGCAGGAGAATCTCGTCTCTGCTTTTTGCGGATGATGTGGTCCTCCTAGCTTCATCCAGCTCTGACCTTCAGCTCTTGCTGGGTAGGTTCGCGGCCGAATGTGAAGCGGCTGGGATGAGGATCAGCACCTCCAAATCTGAGACCATGGTTCTCGACCGGAAAAGGGTGGCTTGCCACCTCCGGGTCGGGGGAGAGGTCCTACCTCAAGTGGAGGAGTTTAAGTATCTCGGGGTCTTGTTCACGAGCGAGGGTAGGAGGGATCGGGAGATCGACAGGCGGATTGGTTCGGCGTCTGCAGTGATGCGGACGCTGAGCCGATCTGTCGTGGGGAAGAGGGAGCTGAGCCAGAAAGCCAGGCTCTCGATTTACCGGTCGATCTACGTCCCAATCCTCACCTATGGTCATGAGCTTTGGGTAATGACCGAAAGAACGAGATCGCGGATACAAGTGGCCGAAATGAGTTTCCTCCGTAGGGTGGCCGAGCTCAGCCTTAGAGATAGGGTGAGGAGCTCGGACATTCGGGAGGGACTCGGAGTAGAACCGCTGCTCCTCCGGATCGAAAGGAGCCAGTTGAGGTGGTTTGGGCATCTGGTCAGGATGCCTCCTGGACGCCTCCCCGGGGAGGTGTTTCGGGCATGTCCTGCCGGCAGAAGGCCCCCGGGTCGACCCAGGACACGTTGGAGAGGTTACATCTCCAATCTGGTCCGGGAACGCCTTGGGGTCCTGCCGGAGGAGCTGGTGGACAAGGCCGGGGAGAGGACGGCCTGGAGCTCCCTGGTTGGGATGCTGCCCCCGCGACCCGGACCCGGATAAGCGGAGGAAGACGAAGACGAAGATTTCATCAAATCAAAGTAAATCATTTCCAGGATGTCACGGAAAAAAGAAGTTCTCAAATGGAATATTCGATCTAGATCTTGTCTGCTTTGGCCGAAGGCTTTCAGAAAACACATTAATGCTAGAAAACCTGAATTGAGGGGGAAATTGCATTACTGTAAGGGTAGTGCTCTATGTCCACTGCTCTCATTCATGCAGTCAATGTCAAATAGGCTTGACAAAAGTTGTAAATGTCATCAATGAGAAGGCAAAAAACAATAGAAGGTTGATTATTTTATAAAGGGTGGTGAGAAAGAAATGAATTAGAATAAATCTAAAATATCAAAGCTGTTTGTGATCCTATAGTATGGTCACAGTGATCAGTTTAGAGCAGTGGTTTCCAATCTGGGGTCCTTGACCCCCCAAGAGCGGCCCCACAATTCTATCTACAAGATGAGGATACCAAGAGTATACTTATACATGGTTACATTTATAAAATCCCAATGAACACACCCATTCATTTAATTAGAACTCTGTATACGTTATCCCTTTGTGTCTGTATAAAATTTGTAAGTAATTGCTTGTAATTAATTACTTTTATTGTGTGTGGGTGGAAGTTGGAAGGTGGGCGCAGGATCGTCTTTCACACAGGCAAGAGGTTTAAGAAAAAAGGTTGGGAACCACTGGTTGAGGATTTCTGTCTTCCTGGTAACAAAGCAGGATTTGGTTCAGACCACAGACCTGCATCCATCAGCACAGGTCACTGTCTGGGGCTAAGTGGAGCCCTCAGCAAGACCACTGGGTCATCCCCTTCTCTCAACGCCTCACCAGAACAACCACCTCTGCTCCAACACGTTCCTAGCATGTCTCAGGTCTCCCTTTTAAAGCCACAATCTGGAGTTTTCCCACTTTCAGGAATCATGTATGATTATTTTTAGAAATCCTCAAGTCTTCCCCTGTACTGTGTTATCAGTATTGGGCATCTTACGTTAAAATCCAAAAAGTAATTGAATTAGTAACTCAGTTACATTAAAAAATTAGTTACCTAGCAAAGTAACTGAGGCGTTACTTTTATGTCCTATAACGAAGATTTTATAACTTAATTATTGACATTTCAGATATTCAGTAAGAATGTTCTTATGGATATATGGAATGTTATTTTCTACCAGGAATAATAGGATTATAGACATATGGAAACAAATCCAGTCTGCCTAATAAATGTTAAAGCCACCTCAGGTTTTTAGGGATTTTGAGTTATCTCCAACTTAATTCCTACTGGTGCAGTTGCTGTTATGGATATCCTTAATTATAATTTTTACAGTAACATTGCTGTTGAGGTCTTCATTTGAAACTTCAAGTGTGGGGTGCTGCTCACACTCATCTCCTGTCAGCAAACACCCTGATGTGCTCGGCTCTGTGTAAACCTGCTCAGGGTGGGAATGGCAGGTGAGAGTATAGATAGATAACTAGATAGAGATATAATAAACAATGTGAGAATCATCATTGTAAGCTATTGTGTTTTCGCTCTGTTGGCTGGATGGAGGTGCAAATTCACCAACGAGAAGCGCTGCTTCCAGCTGTAATCACGGAGAGGGGCTTAAGGTGCAACATGCATGTTCTGTCTCTAGATGGTGCTCTGACAAAAAGTCTAGATTTCTGCTTTAATGTAGCACAAATGGCAAAAAAGCAACAAACTTGTAATCTCTGTTCAAAGTTTGAAAGAATTTTTTATTTTCCAGAAAGTTGACGTTAGAAATATTGATGCAAAGATGTTTAAAAGTGTGATTCAAGAAAACCAGAGCCAAAAGAAAAATCACTTCAGCTCAACAGGATAAACAAACACATTTGAAACAATAAAATACTTAAGAAAAAAGTTCTTAGCAAACATCCCATGGAAAAGGTGGTGTACTAGAATAGAGGAACAGAGAAAACTATACACTGATGGTACACTGGATGCCAGCAGATAATTCTGACATGAAGGCTTCTTTTGCACTGATCACCAATCCACTGCACATTCAAGTAGACCTGGAAAACAAAAGCACAGAATATTAAATCATTTCTTTTAAAGATTTGTTCTATGTCAGGATAAAACATCCTGCTATTTAAATTGTTTTTGTTGAAATATTAGTTTTTAAAATCAAATTTTTGCTCAGACAATTTCTGAGGTGAAGCTACATTTACTTCCTATGAACCAATCAGGATCGCTCAACGTAAATCAGAGCCTGGCGACCCAAGCCAACAATGGCACCTACACACTAGTATCAGCTCCACTCCGCCTGGACCAGGTTTGGAGTGTTCTCATATAGGTAGCCTTGGATTTTCCCACGTGCAACCGGACGTCTTTTTAGCCCTCTTCCCGAGGAGGTCTGCCTGGAGCCGAACTGGTCCAACACGCCCACTGCAGACTGACTGGCTGGCTCAAAATCACACCTACCGTTAGGGGTAGCCTCCGATTGGCAGATAGAATCAGCCTGCGGGGGCTTCCCACATGCGCTGTTCAGTATCATTCTGGATGCTGTGGAGTTAACGAGCCTCTGGCTACGTTCACACTGCAGGCAAAGGCACATTAAATCAGCTTTTTTCCCCACATGCCAGTCATATCTGGTTTTTTTGACTGAACCAGGGTATATACAGCAATCCTTAAGTAAAATTTACTACTTTTTAATACTTTTTTTTTTACTACCTTCAGAATTTTTTTAAAACCATCACAACACTAAATTGCAAGTGTTAATCAGCGACCTATTTACACATATTTTAACATATATAACATACAAAAAGCATAGACTTAGAGACTCACTGATGTTGACAACGTATTGCGCATATTTATTTTACTTAGAAAATATGCCAGGCACTTCTTTTCAGCGGTTCAGACAGTTGACCACGAGGCCTGAAATGATGCAGAACGACCACTGAATATGACGTCATCATAATGTGACCGGATATGCTAAAGTAGGGCTGCTCAATTATGGCAAAAACAATAATCACGATTATTGTGACTGAAATTGAGATCTCGATTATTTAAAGAGCAAGTCACCCCCCCACCAGATTCTTACTCAACTCCCACTTCCTGTTTGAAAAATGCAACAAATGCTGTTGCCTAGCAGACCGAGAGGGCGGAGCCGCTAACAAATACACACACTCACGACATTGTGACATCATAATGTACCAGTTTACATCATAGCATACCTCTTAGCCAATAGCGACGGCAGATTTAAATTCAAATGCGGTGCTGAGTTTTTACCTGACGACAGCGCATCGCTGACAGTTTTAGGCAGAATATTTAAATTTTAAAGAGCAAGTCAACCCTTACAAGATGCATACTCCACTCCTACTTCATGTTTGAAAAATGCAACAAATGCTGTTGCCTAGCAGACCGAGAGGGTGGAGCCACTAACAAATACACACACTCACGACATTGTGACATCATAATGTACCAGTTTACATCATAGCATACCTCTTAGCCAATAGCGGTGGCAGATTTAAATTCAAATGCAGTGAAGAGTTTTTACCTGACAACGGGACAACACTGCCAGTTTCAGGCAGAAAATTTAAATTATAACTAAAATGCACTAAAGTGCAAAACTGTTGACTACACTTGTCTGCAGCATGATTAGACACGCATTTATATAGTTTATCAGAAAAAAATAGTTGATTTGGGGGTGACTTGCTCTTTAACTAAGATGCACTAAAGTGCCGAGTTATTGACTACATTTGTCTACAGCACAATCGGACACTCATTTATATCGTTTATCAGCAAGAAAATGTTGATTTGGAGTGACTTGCTCTTTAAGACGATTTTTCAATTTATGTAGATTTTTTTAATTTATTTTTATTCAGTCATAAAACTGCTCAGGGCACAATCAGGGCAAAAATAAACAAGAAACAAGATGATCACTAAAAGAACTCCTGATTCCCAGTATAAAAAGACCAATATACTTATAGCTCATAGTTTATGACCCAAGGGCTGTAGACCTTGGTTTAACTCATTTAAGTCTAACCAGTACAGACCCAAATACCAATATCTTGCAAATACTGACAGCAAGAATTATACAGTGGCATTTATAACAAATAAATGCAAATAAATTAATGTTCACAAAATGTTGCATAACATTTATTTAGTCGAGTCAAGGTGCTGTAGGAGAGTGCACTAGCACCGTGTCCTCAGAGAGATTAGTTATTAGTTATCAGCGTGAGGAACTTATTTCTACCTTATTTATAAACTATTTATTTACAAGTCCATCAGTTAATGTAATAATTGTCCCAACCACAGCTGCACCCCCCACCCCCCACCCCCCAACCCGGTCTCACAGCAATCAGGGGCAAGCTGCATGTGTGTTTAGCGCGCCGCACGCGCACACTTAGCCGTTTTTAGTGGCTCAGGAGCCCGCAGGTACGGTGTGTGTCACTCACTCTGGTTACTCCAACAGGGAGCCGGCTCCGAGAGCCGTTTCTTTAGCGACTGACACATCACTACATCATTCCCTTTCCTAATGTCCTGAAGAACGGTCCGGAGTGCAGGCGGAGTGTTTAGCTAACCTGCAGCAGGAAATGTCGACGATAGTTATCCAGAAAGTAGCTAAGGGTTACCAGAGATGTTTCTGAGGTGTTCGCTGGGTACTTTTAAGATTTAAAAAGTCAAGAAGGGGGTCTGAAAAGCTGTTGGAAATAGCATCAAAGTCGCTAAGTTGGCAACGGAGCGCTTCATTTGTAACTCAGGGCAGCTCAAGTGGGAGGAGCGAATAATCGGCTTGTTTTATTTTTATAATCGTTCAAAACATTTCATTCGGAATATATTTCTATGTCGATGTTCAGAATACGACACCTGATAGTCTGAAAAAAATAATACCTAACTTGGAAAAAATAATACCTCTGAGACCAAATTTAACACTTTTAATGGCCTTAAATTTGACTATTTTTATTTATCACTTTTTAATACTTTTTAAAACCCCGCGGACACCCTGCTGAACGCACAGATCCGATTTTTTTAAATGCGATCCGTGTCACAAAAATATGTAGTACTAATTCCAACACATATATGATATTTTTGAAAGCGACTGCAATCTGAACGGTCATGTCGCATTAAATTTGTCTCCTACGTCACTGAGTCAGCGGAGGTCAGCGTTGTGTGTGGATGTTTCTGAGGAGAAGCGCTGACAGGAGGGTTCAGGAGTCTGTCTGGATATCCTGTTTTAAGTTTAGGAATTAAAAATGCACGAGAGCATGAGAATGGGAGCTGGAAGTGCTGCTGGAGCGAAGCGTCTCACCCGTCTCCGTGAGAGGGGGGTTCTCAGTGAATGAACTAATACCGGAACATTTTCTGTGAATGATAATTCAGGGAGACGACGGGAACAAGGAGTAAAATAGTTTACAGTTTTTAAAACATTTTCCAGCCCAAAACGGAAGAATTAACAGGTGTGAAAGTTTTCACCGAGTTTATCAACAGGATCAGGATGACGTCACAACTTTGCTGCTCCTAGTTTCGGCTCCACTGAGTGTGACTTCTTGTATTCTAAGCACGCGGGTCGCTTTGGGGCCGTGAAGCGTTCACACTGGAGAAAGTTTGATGTTGCATTTCAGTCAGAGTGTGAACGGCCACATACACACACACACACAAAAAATCAGATTTACCCAAAAAAAAATCGGAAATGAGCATCAAAGCCTGTGTGTGAACATAGCTTCTGTCTCTCACTGTTGTGAGGAGCGCGCTAGGGCTGAACGACTTATTGCAAATTTTCTAGCAGAAATTGCGATTTTGGTTCAATTCACGATTTTCTGCTAACAAAGGTCCAATACTAGCCTGCCAAGCCATCCTGTAGATTAAGTGAAAAGATGGTCTAGATTCTAATCTAGTACAACAAATCATTCACATTAATATTTACCATTTATCATACAATAAAAACAGTTAAAGCTATTAATATTTTCTCCCATTATGCTCTTTTTTTATGCGTTTGTGAAGCAACTTGTGCTTGTGATTTTTATCTAGAGGAGCTTTATAAAAACATGTTCTACTCCTAAAATGCATGGAGGAAATCTTTTTTAGTTTTTAAATGTATTAAATAACAAAAAATGCACAGTTTCCTGCATTACCAAGGTAGGCTGGCTGCATGTTTTTCGAAGCCATCCATGATAGTTTTTCCTCACTAAAACGTCAGTTCTGTGACAGAGACGCACGCATTCTGACACCTTAGCTTGTTTGAACTAACGTGTGCCATCAGAAAGAAACATTCAAACCATTTTAAAAAGAGAAGTTGAGCTTTCAAGTCAACTAAGGTGTGCAACTCCACAGTCGCGCTGATGAAGCATAAACCAAGCTTTAGAAATCAACCTGAACCTGCTCCGATGTGGGAGGAGTCTCTCTCTCCCTTACTCAACTACGTTCTCCCTCTGTCCCGGGCTCACCTACGGTGCCATTATTATCGGCTTTAGCAGCGCTGTGTGTGGAAACAAAAACAGGGGAAATAACCAGAACATGCAGCTCTGGCAGCTGTGGAGTTGGGCTCTGGACGGTACACCCCCTCCCCCGCGCTGGCTTTTGCCGCCGCCAAACAGGGAAAACCTCGGATGTAGTAAAAAAAAAAGTTACACAACTGCAGTGGCGGCTCCAGAAATGTTTTTCTGCAGGTGCTATGAAGGAGCTAGTCTTTTTATTGAGGGTGCTATGAAGGAAGTGGTCATGCGTACCTATTATTCTCTAAAACACCTTCAACACTAGCATGTTAACACTAGCACTACCTTATGAACAATCGCTGACCTTTCCATGAAATCATAAACACATACAGCCACACAGAAAACCACCTATATTGTTGCAAGGTTAGCTAACATTAGCGTTAGCATTTCCAGCGGCAAAACCCTGGACTGCTGCGGCGGTTGAGGGTTGACTCACTTCATCCAGATCCGTAGGTTTTTGTGGGTCTGAGATCACTTCCAAAGATTCATTCGTTTCTGACTGAACCTTGGAAATGTAGGCAACAAAAACCGATCCATTTTACCACTAGCTCTACCTTTCACTCGTTCACAGGTGGAAAATGAGGTCAAAGGTTAACATCAATTTCCTGTTTTGGTTTAGATTTTTACTATCTATATGATAATTTACTGGTTATTTTTGTTTTGTATGTTAAATATTATCACATCCACACGTTAACTAAAAATTAAATTGTAAAAAAAAATAAATCTATTTACTTGGGGGTGCTATGGGGGTGCAATGACTAATCCAGGGGTAGCTATAGCGCCCCTAGCACCCCCCTGGCGCCGCTACTGCACAACTGATCCTGGATCAGTCAAAACCGCAGCTTTGACGGTCACGTGATCGTGCTGTTTGAAATCGCCATTTCGGTCCAAAAACGATAGAACGTTCAGCCCTGGCGTGCACGCACGCAAACACACACACACAGGATGCAAAATCTGAGTCAGTGAGTCTCCAAAAGCAAGCCTGCTCAGGTAGCTTTTGTTTAATACTGGAAACACCGCAGACTTTTTCGCGCCCACCCACATGCTCGGAGATGTGCTCATGACATCACTGATATCCATTTTTTGCACCAATTTTGGAAACCGCCCATGGGGGGTTTGGGGCAGCAGTAGCTCAGGTGGTACAGCGGGTTGCCTCATGATCGGAGGGTCATGGGTGTGATTCCAGCTCCCGCCAGGGGTATCCTGCTGTTGTGTCCTTGGGCAAGACACTTCACCCAACTTGCCTGTGTTAGTGGTGGCCAGAGGGGCCGACGGCGCCAAATGGCAGCCTCGCCTCTGTCAGACCTCCCCAGGGCGGCTGTGGCTACAAGTAGCTTACAATCACTAGCTGTGTGTGAATGTGAGAGTGTGTGAAAGCGTCTTTGGGTGTCTAGAAAAGCGCTATATAAGTTCAATGCATTATTATTATTATGTGCTCAATCACATCCGCATTCCTAAAGCAATGTAGAACGAAAGCAGCCAGGTTGGTGCGGCCGCACAGAGTGGAGCTGATGCTAGTGTGTAAGTGGCAAAGTCAGCAGTCTACCAGTTATTCGCAAAAAAATTTGCTTTACACTAATAAAAATGTAAACGTGCAAGCTAACATTTACCATTAGCACGTTGACGAATACTTAATACGTAAAAGTTTCATTCATTCACAGAGAGCTTATATACAACAGCAACAGGGACAGGTGCCTTTTTGTTTTTTAAAGTTCTCAACCATCTATCTTGTCTAATATTAAAGTGGATGGGGAGCCAGCAGGTGACGCAGCTGCTCTTTGAAAACAGAGTTTACAGATTAGGAGGCAGCAAATTGAGGTTAGCTCAAACATACTTGGGTTTTGTCTCGGCGTCCGTGACTTGACGGATGAAGATGGCATCTTCTGGGTGGCTGATGTCTCCTTTTTCATACATGTAGGATGAGGCGATGGCAAGCATCGTGCCATCGTTACTGAAAGCCAGTGAAGCAATGCTGGTCGGGTACCGGTGGAACTGACACAGACGCTTTTTGTTGAATGGGTCCCAGATATTCACAAAGCCATCTGAGCCACCTGGCAAAAGGAGAGACTCAAGGTCATCCTCACACACTTTTAAGCGATGTTGGTGCTCAGACAAAAGTTCTCTGTAAGAAGGTTCCATTCAAAAATAAATATGTAACAGGAAATTCCAGGTTTGCAAAAACTGGACTATAAGAATAAACCATGTTTAAAAAAAAAAAAGAAAAAGAAAAAATTTGCTTCTCTCGTGTACAAACTAGTCAAGTGTACCTGTGGCAAAGGTGTTATGAATGCTGTGAAATGAAATGGCATTGACAGGGTAGACATGCTCAATTCCATCCTCCTTCAGCCTGTGGCACTTGAAGGCATATTTCTTCTTCTGAACCTCCTGGCTCGGGTCCAGGTACTCCACAGCTACACGGCCCTCAATTGAACTCAAGACATAGCCCTGAAGTCAAGACAGAAAAATATAAGATTACTTTAAAACTTTCTTTCTTATCAGATTCTTCACGTTAAAAAGCAGTCAGATGGTTTTTTTTAGCCAGCGAACCTGTTTGTTGGGAAAGGCTCTAATGCAGCGAGTCTGATACTTTAAACTGGACTCCCTTCTCTGCTGAACATAGCCCATGTTTCTCAAATCCCAGACGAGGACTCGTCTCCCCGCTGTGCCAACAATCAGTCTGTCCCCAGCCACAGAGAGGGTGTACACCTGTTTGACAGCAGGTTTGAGACCAATGAAATGCAGAAATAAAGAAATAAGATGCTATTTAAAGTAATCAACAATAAGCTGTCAACAGCACATCTGTATAAATGCATTATTAAAGAGAACACATGCACCAACAAGGTTTAATTCACACACTTTGTCAGGCTGAGTGAAGGTGCCAGCATTGCAGGGTGTTCGTGGGTCCCACAGTCGGACCGATTTGTCCCAGCTACCCGTTACCATGACATTAACTTCTGGACAGTACTCCACACAACGAATGGGGGCATCATGTGCTCCAACTATTGTATCTGTTCATAAACAATAGAAACTCAACACATTAATTTCATCATCATAAATTTGTTTATATTAGTTGACGGTGGAAGACATACCTTGGTCTGTGTTCAAATCGTGAGTCTTCAACTGTGAATCTAAACCTCCACTCCAACAATGTGTTGGATCCTGGAAGTGAAAGTTATTATTATTAAATTGCACAAGATTATTAGGACACGGAAATCTGGAACCTAAACACCTGCAACATACATAAAAAGCACAGTCAAGAACTGGAGCTGTGTGCTGGTACTTCATCCGCATGGTGTTGCCTCCAACATCGTAGAGACGGACCGTGCAGTCCCAGGAGGAAACCAGTAGGAACTGAGCCGTGCTGGGGCTGAACTTGGCAGCAGAGATGCCATCCTCTGGTCCCTGGTTAAGTTTGTATTCGTTTGAACCTGTCATCTGTAGGGTGGGAAGAAAGTTAGCTCAAAAGATAAAAATAGACTTCAACCTCAGTTATTTGGCATAATTTGTGAAAGGCCAAAATTAGCAGATTTTTGCTTTTCAATCCACAATTTGGTTTTTGTCTAAACATAAATAAATGAATAACTCGTGTTGCAGATTTGGCAACAAAGGATTGCGGCAAAATTAGATTTGTTTAATGACAAATTTATACAGAAACACACTATTACCATTACACTGTCACACTATTAGTCTACCTGCAGTTCAATAGATTTATCAGCTGACATTTAGAAGTGACATCACATTTCTGATCACGACGTAACACCTAACGACAATTAAAACATCAAAGTAAGGAAATATTAACACAAACACGTAATTACTAACAAATACAAAGCAAAATGAGAACAAACACACACCCAGGGACTTGGATCGTTATAAAACAAATAAACTCGATATATCAGTGTGAAAACACAACCCTTCAATAAATTCGCCTGTGTGAGCACTGAAAAATACTTAAATGTATCACAGTACAGTAATTGTATCACAAAAAGACACCATGCACAGTTGCTACTAACACAGGTTGCTATCGCTAACACTAGCATGAAACGGTCATGGCGGAGACTAGAAGTCTTACTTTTATTCGTTTCACAAACGTACCTCTTTCATTTACACGTAGGGACGTGAACTGCCGTTCTACTTCACAACGATGCGTATAATTCCCAGCGATGCAGTAAAATCTAACGCAGAAAGCGTGGAAGATGCTGGAAGCCAAGGCGGTTGCTTGTAGCCACTTAGCTTTGCTACGGTAGGCGCTGTTAAAGCGGAGCTCTCTAATCTGGCTTCTGGTTGGTTAAAACGAATGTTCAAAATCGCGCCTACGATGTCATTGGTCCATTTTAGTGTTACGTTTACTTCCGTTGTTTTAGCATAGATCACATGACACAGGACGTTTTTGTTTGTCTTCCGTGCGTGTTTTTTCTCTTGCTTACTGCGTTTCAACCAGTTTCAACACAGATGAATGAAATTTTAATGAAATAATCATGACGCGGAGCAAATATAGATCATTTATAGTGACATAATCTCTTGTATATAGTTATTTGGACAATATATGGTTTGGTAGTACATATCTGGGTCTAGCAAATATAAAGGAGTTTATCCACGTTTTACCTCAGAAGGGTGGATTTGTGCATCATAAGGTCTTGTGATATTTTTATGTCTGTAGTATTGGGCCTAGGCTATGACTGAATCTGCTTTTTTCTGGTTTGTGAAACACACTGAAAGGAAATCACAAATATGCACTTGACTCATACGAATTAAATCAGCTTTGTGAGACAAATAAAAAGTTCACGGCACTGGTTCAGACGACAATTAATTAACGTCTGATTCAGCACTAGGAAAGAGCATTGTTGATACGGTATTACCTGTACAAAAGGGCGAGATGACAATAATTAAAATAATTAAAATCGAAAGTAGATATATTTCTGATGATCATGCAAAATCTATTGTTTCATTTTGAATCCAGTTTCAGAATCGATCACCAAAAAGAGTAAATGGTTTATTTATTTATTGGACTGCTTTTAATACAATATTCATTTTTTTATTTCATTTTACTGAAAGGGAAATCAGAGCTACAGGATGTAATTATCAGACAAAAAACACGCAGAAGCAGACTTTTTGGCTCTCTCATGGATGCGTCTTATAAAAAAATCCTGTTATTATAGATTTCTTTTTTTTCAGTTTTCTCTAGGAATCGCATGATTGTCTTCACTATTACAAAGAGATTTTCTCTTTTTAACTGAGCTATTGTTGACAAAGGTCTTAAAAGCTAAAAAAACAACAACAATATTGCACAACATTTGAAAATATCTAAATATTAAATTCCACATTTTCAGGTACAAACACTGACACAAATCTCTGCAAAGCAGAGAGCCGACTCTGTTCCAAAGCTCCTTTTGTCACAACTGAACAAATTAAAATATACACACACGCACACACATTTGTGAGACTCGCCAACAATAAAAATAATAATATATTTTGTTTGCTCCTTTGCAACACAATTGAGAGACCCTGTATTGTAGGAATGTATAATAATAATAATAATAATAATAATAATAATAATAATAATAATACAGCCTTAAACAATTGTCCTTGAATCTACAAAATATACAATTTTTTATTTTGGTTTCGAATTGATTTCATTAAAAACATCTGTACATTCTGACACCATCGTTGTTAAACTGGCCTCAGCAGGGGGGCTGAATGGGAATAGTACATGTGGTGGGGGAAAGCCAGGAGCGACTGGCTGCTCGGTGAGTTTGTACCGGGGCCACCGCTCGTTTCCGAGGCGCCGCTCTCATGGTAAAGTATCGGAACACGCACAATCCTCTGCGCCGCCGCATGGCTCATGTTGGCCGCCTCCAGCTCTGCGGCCAACTGTCTTTTCCACTTATTCCTCCGGTTCTGGAACCAGATCTTCACCTGCGTCTCGGTCAGGTGCAGCGACGCGGCCAGGCCAGCCCTCTCCGAGCTGCTCAGGTAGCGCTTGATGTCAAAAGTGGACTCCAGCTGGAAGACCTGGCTCCTGGAAAACACCGTGCGCGTCTTCTTCTTCCGGCACGACTTTTTCTCAGGGTCTAGGTCGTCAGATTTTCTCCTCCAGTCCTCATCCTGGTCCGTTTCTTTCTTTGACTCCTCCGCGTCACTTTCATCCAGGGCGATGTCGTCGTCGGCGCTTTCATCTTTGGCATCTTGGTCACTTTTTGGAAGATCCGGGGAGCGTCTGTCGGGTGCCGGCGACTCTTCTCTTGGATTGATCTTCTCACACACTGCAGAAAAAAATATAACTTAAGAACAAGCATCCATTTTCAATATTAAGTTAAGTTTTCATTTGTAAAAAAACATTGCGTTTTATGGTTATAATTTCCTAAACCTTTCCTCATGAAAATTAAATACATATTTTTTTATAAATATATAAAAGTGTGTATAACGAAATACACTGACAAAGAATTTATTAATCTTGTAATGACACACCTCCAGTCCTAAAATGCGTCCCCAGCGCGTATGGGTACCACCAGGCAGACGCTCTCTCCAAATACTGCGCTGACAGTCCGATCCTCTGAGTTGGCAGCTCGAATCGAGGAAGAGACAAGTCACTGAGCCGAGAAAAGAAACTGCCTTCAAACACTCCTTTGGATGAACCAAGTGTGATTTTTGGCTTTGATGGTTTGTCTTCAATGTTGAGCAGGTTCTTGATGGAGAAGGGTGAGTCTTTAGCGGGTTGGCGAGTGTCTTGCGCATCAGAATCTGCCATCACCGTTTACTGTCCGAAATAAAATACCATAAAATATTGAGATAAATGTTTAACTCAACAAGCATCAGCAAGTTTCTTGGTTTTTGAATAAGAATATAAGTCAAGGACGCAAGAGACAGAAAGCCGTCCCCTGATCAGCGCGCAGAGATCACTGCGTCAAACCTGCGCTGGATTGTAATGATGGAACAGAAATGCCATCCGAGTTAAAACGCGCTCGGTCTCTGCGATTGGGCAGGTATAATAGCAAATGGGATTTGAGAGGAAACTGTGACGAGATCGGACTCCAGAGAAGAAGGCCGCGCAAGCGTTTTGGCTCCGGGCTCCGCAGAACGCACCCACTTATCATCCAATTAGATTAAAGAGAAAAGTGTCCCGGGGGGGTTGAAGGGTGTGGGAGAGCACGAGCCACAATCACCTGTCAGGAAATTGAATAAACGGTCCAAAGATTATCACGTAAACCTGGATCTGAGTTTAATTATGCAAATCATCCGCACATTTACGCACAGACACCGCTTTGGACACACAGGGAAAATACCAAATATCTTCTGTTATTTCTAAAGCTCAAATAGAAGTTATTAAATTGATCCAGAAATGGGATGTGTCCGAATGCGGCCCGTAATCATTCATTGTGCGTTTTACCTGGACCGGAACCTTCTGACTTCATTGTGATTTTATTAGTCAGGAAGTGCTTCGGGCAAGTTACAAATTGAATGCTTCCCATCATGTTACAGCCTTTTAAAATCAACTTTGTAGAAAAAAAAACCCTTCAGGACCAACAGGTGATCTAATGGGGATGGAATCAGTCTAGTTCCTGCAATTAGACGAGGCTTGGGCCTACTTGGATGTGTAATGAGACATCAAGTGTAATTAGATGAGCTCATGAATCCCACATGAGGAATAAAAATAGAAGTTTTATCACAGAAACTCAATTTGGATCAAACAACGTTTATATTTTGTGACGTCACTGAACTAAATCCACTTTTTCTTTCTGACAGAAACTTGCTGATGCTTGTCAGAAAATGAAAAGCTGAAATGAATCAAAACATGCAATATCCACTTTACACTCTTATCTGTTAAACCAAACCCGAAGCTGATGCAGAAAACTAATCAAACAAATTGAATTTGCTCAACCTGCAAGCACACAGCCTGTCCTTTCAGCTCGTTGAGCGCTCTCCAGAGCTAAAGGACAACACTGCGTTTTGTGAAAGGCTACTTGAATCCTTGCATAATTAGAGGTCTCATAGCTGCGTTAAAGATGGGGGCGGAGGGAGAGGTTAGCTGAGCTGCATTTGGAAAAGTGAAAAGCAGCTGTGTTTTCTGATGATTATGTTAATTAAACAGATAGGAAGATGCAGGCGCAGAGCTGCGGTCCTTTATCGGTTTGCTTGAGTGATTTTGGAAACAACCTGACAGCTGATGACTGCACTTGTCAGATTTCCTTTTATAACTATTCTTTTTTGCAGCTGCTGATTTGGAAGTGCATGCTCAAACACTGCAAAGCTCCTGTTTCACACGGTATCTTATTCATTTTCTTATCAGAAATTATGCTATAGTTATCTAATTTGGCTTTTGCAGACCCCCCCCCCCCCCCCCCCCCCAATAGTTTATGTGGTTCTGCACAGCAATGTCTTTTCATCGGAAGCACCAGTATAATTAAATTAATGTCAAATATCATTCAAGGTGACACATGGCAATTCAATGCTATTCACCTGAGGAAGTGGCTCTACCAAAGTGATGCAGTCACTCAAGGAGGTGCTGCCATCTAGTGGGGAAAGATGGCATCACCACCCAAAACATCAGCAGAGAATTATTAGTGTGTGTCACATTTATTGTGTTGAAACATCCATTTCATTTTTTTTTACAGAGAAACATTTGTTGAAATGGAGAAAGTCACAAATGAGTGAACTTTTATAATATAAGATAAAACACTCTCCCCAATAACAAACATTTCAAAGGCACTGAATTCTACAGATCATTTTTTTACCACAATTTCTAAAAGTACACATTAAATATGGGAGACATGATGCAGAAAAGATCTAAAAGTGCAAAACTTATCTTTATATACTTACATTTCCACAGACTTTTTTATGACTAATGTGAAAATGAACAACATAAAAATAACATCAACTTAAACCTAAGAAATTGACCTCCGAAATGGGGAAAAGTGACCCTTTCGGTAACATCTGCGGTGAGAACTACTTTACAAGAGTTTAATAGACACCAATAAGTCCAGCTGATCCAACTGAAGAGATGACAAAAGCAAAACTGGAGAATAACAACAAAATGGGACCCATTGGACAGTTTCAGTGGTCAAACTCCTTATCGATGAACTTAGCCATGGTGGACAGCTGTATATTTGTTGTGCCTTCGTAAATAGTTCCTGCACAAGGAGACACAATAAAAACGTTAGATTGCATTTCAATAAGGTCCATTCTGTCGATTTGAGTCTAACGTTTCCTCTTCCTGGAGACAACGGGGTCAGCCTTCCTTTGAACTCACATTGAAGGACAAGAGAGCCAAAATGAGGTCGATGAAAGCAAAAGCGATGTTTAACAGCAGCAGCTACCATAGCTTTATGTCGGTGTAACGGTAATCTGAGGGACCACTGAGGGAAATTCCTACAGAGTCCAGTTACAGCCACTAATCCCACCCCATTCTGGTCCAATCACAGCTACACCTGAACTTCCTGCAACAGCTGCGCTCTTCACAAGGTGAAGCTCCTACCACAGCTAAACAAACGGAGCCTTGTCTCATCATGAATAAACATGAAAACATCAAAAGGCTTACCAATTTTACAGTCTCTATAGTATTTCTCTATGGGGTAGTCTTTGGTGAAGCCCACTCCTCCCATCCATTCAATGCATTTTGATGTAGTTAGGGTTGCAACCTCATTGAGATAAAAAAAAGCTGTTAAAATACAATTTCATAATTCTTGTGTTTTGGTTTTTCACAAGATGCTGGAATACAGACCAAGAGCTTTAACGGGTTGTGAAAAGGGGGATAAAATTGATAATGATAGGATGTAAATAAATAATCATAAAACTGCTATTATAAACCGGAGAATGACATTTCCTTGTGAATGAGTCAAAAAGCACACCTCAGCTGAGAAGTACTTAGCCATGCAGGCTTCCTTAATGAAAGGTCTGCCAGCTTCCCTCAGACGAGCTGCGTTGTACGTCAGCAGGCGAGCTGCTTCAATCTGTGTTGCTACGTGAGCAATCTGATGCTGCATGCCCTGGATTATAAAGAACAGCATAAAGGTCACATGATGCATGAGTACCAAAATAATAAGCAGAAGTTCTTGGGAGGATTGGTACCTGAAAGTCAAAGATACGCTTCCCAAACTGCACCCTCTGTCTGGTGTAAGGAATTGTGTGGTCAAAGCAGCCCTGAGCCAGTCCAAGCATCTGGAACACAGTCAGATCTATGGCGTCAGATCACTTTTTTTTTAATGAGACGGCGCAATTCATAACAAAACAAGCATAAAAACGGGTTGGGGAGAGAGTAAAATGATATTGTGGAGAGTAAAACTGTTATCATGGATGACATGTTTTAGTAACAGGACACATAAAGTCACACTTTTGTAGCCTGGCCTGTTTAATTCTGCACAGAGAATGAGTCTGGTAACTCACAGGCAGAGAGGCACTTGAGGGGCGGGACTAAGAAGCTCAAAAATAACCAATCAGAAAAAAGAAGGAAATCCCGACTGTACTGCACGATGCGGTAGATTTCTAGTTGTAGTAAAAAAAATAGCATCTGGCAACGGTGCAAACATATATATATATATACATTTTTTTTTAGAAGAAATGCTTTTAGCGCTTCTCTACTTGTGGTTTTAAAGATATCTGAGTCATTTAGAACAGAGGAAAGAGCCGCAGCGAACTCCACCGCTGTCTTCGTTGTTTATGAAGAAACTGAGCATCTGTGTGTGACGTCTGCGACGCTGTAATTTTTCTAGCTGTAGTAAAAATGGAGTCTGGCGACAGCGCAAACATATTTGTTTAGAAAAAAGGCTTTTAGCGCTTCTACTTGTTGTGGTTTTAAAGACACGTTCAAATCAATTAGAACAAAGGAAAGAGCCGCAGCGAACTCCACTTCAGATGCACTGAGTGAGAGGTGGATCAATGGTCAGGGTGGAGTTTAGTGTGCCAGTAGCGCATATGGAGACTAGCGGTTTGCTTTTTTGGTTCGCCAACTGCCAATAGGAAAGTGAAGACAAAGATGTAGAAGTATAAGAAGTTGTCTTTTGTTTGGAATCATGGTAGAGCCTGGAAGTAAAGAGGGTGATGTCTTTGAAGGCAAAGCTAAAGCCAGAGTTAACATTAGTGTGACCTGCACTCTGAGGCTGCAGCAGGGTTGGGAAGTATATTAAGTGTTACTTTGGTGCATTTTAACAAGAATAATGAAACAAAACAGATCTAATACCTGTGCTCCAATTCCAATCCGGCCCTCATTTAACATCCCAATGGCGTATTTGTATCCATGTCCAACTTCTCCTAAAATATTCTTCTCTGGTACCTGTGTTGAAGAGCGGAAAGGCAGTGAGACTCACAATAAGCTGGTTCACATGAGCCCAGAGCAGATCAGGTGTTTGGTTTCACCTTGACATTATCAAAGTTGAGTGGACAGGTGGAGGATGCACGAAGGCCAAGCTTGTTCTCTTTTTTACAGATCTCCAGTCCCTCAGCGTCTCGGTCCACAATGAAGCAGGTTATGCCTCTGTACCCCTATATCAATACAAAACAAGTCCATCTTTATTATAGCAAAAATAAAAATAAAATTTAAACCTGAAAAGGGAAACCAGAAATAAATACTATTTAGAATCCAGAATAGTTAAGCTATAAAATAGATGTTGAGTGTTGCTCACAGCAGAAGAATCCACATTGGCCATCACCAGGAAAACACCTGCATGCTCTGCATTACTGATCCACATCTTGGATCCATTGATGATGTAATAGTCCTTGTGCTTGTCAGCGCGTGTCTTCAGAGAAAAAGCGTCACTCCCTGACTCTGCTTCTGAGAGGCAGAAGCTTCCGATCTGTCACAACGAACCACGATGGGAAACAGAACAGTAAATGTAATGCATGTAAAAAATCTAACAGCACTTTAAACACAATGGGGTGCAGACTTCTTTTTCAAAAACAATAAGAAACATCCAGAAAATGTATTTGTTGTGAAAAATGTAAATAAAACACAACTATTTCAACTTTATAAATAGCTAAAATGAAGTAAACATCTGTTGTAAAATTTAGCTTTAGTGCAGGGTTCAGATTATTTTAATATAATAAAAATTTGAACCCTCTGAAAACCAAAAGCCTCACCATGTCCGTGGAGAGTCGGGTCAGGTACTTCTCTTTCTGGGCTGGGGTTCCGAGTTTGACAAACAGTGTGTTGATGAGTGTGTTCTGGATGTCACAGAGCACAGCCACAGAGGGATCCACCTTCGCCAGCTCTTCAATAACCAGGATGGAGGAGAAAAACGAGGAGCCGGTCCCGCCGTATTCTGGGTCAATCTCAATCCCCATGAGCTTAGGAACAGAACGTAAAAAGTTACTGCAAATTACACTGGTTCCATTTTAATACATTACATTTCCCATTAAGTTTATATAAATGACATACGCCCTGCTCAAAAAGGGATTTGATCACTTCTTCATCCATGGCAGAATTCTCGTCCATCTTTGACACTAGGGGGGCGATGCGCTCCTGTGCATATTTTCTGACTGTAAACAAAAACAGAACCTGACAGAGATTCGTGCCTCCAGCTGTCTGCGTCATGATAAAATCGTTTTTTTCTACTCACCTGCTTCCTTCGTCATGCTTTCCTCCTCTGAATATGTTTGCAGAGGAGGGAAGGAGGTCAGTCCACCTGTCTGGTTTGATGCAGCAGCAGGTGGGGCATAACTAGTCCTCCTTAACCAAGACTGGTATAACCCCCATGGTGTCCTAGGGAACTGTCTAAGGGTCTGGAAACCAACAAGAGAGGACATTTAATTGAAAACTGGCTTAAAGCACTCAAAATTACTAAGGTGAAGACAGTCATATCACCTATTAAAGCTGAGTTTTAATGATGAAACATGATTAGTTCGTGCTTTAGCAAACATTAGCCTAGCAATAGCGAGAAGTTGGGTACAGCCAGTAACGTAACATACATAAGAGGCACGTTATGAGAAACACATTTTGATTTTTCTCAGATAAACTCATTACATTCCAGGAATCAAAGCCTGTAACGTCCAGTCTCACCTTTGAAAGAGTCTTGACCAAAGGCGCAGCCATGCTTGATGAAATGTTTGTACAATTGCACCGTCAGAGCTGTGCCACATTCATGTGTAATCTGAAAACGTAACACTTTTAAATAAATATCTGCCTCTTGTCACATTTTACACTTTTAGAAAACACAAAACATGCTTATGAAATAAAATAAACGAATTGTCTTACATTAAACATTTAGAAACTTTACTAAATAGCCTTTGAATTGTATTTTTAGAGTACATTTCCGATGGTCGTGAAGGCAACTGTTGCATTTGCGTGAATAACGTATCAGGAGAAACCAAACACGGAAGCTAAACAGACATTCAGGAGAAACCATCGACACGTTTCTGTCAGTATCAGCGGTGGTTGGTATGTGAAAGGTAAATAAGCGAATCAATTGAAGGTAGGGTAGAACATGGGTTTAAAAAAATCATCAGAAGAAGCGACAAAGCTAGTTAGCTTTTTTTGCTAATAGCGGTTAATGAAGCTTTTAAATCAGCTAGCTAGAACAGGTTACCTATCGTGACACTGCTCTTCGTGATATTTGGTCGTTTAAATGTTCGTTAGAGAACAGATATAATGGAAGAGATCAAGAGCGAACCTGTGGATTTCGTGAAGGAATTTCAAGAATACCTGACCCAGCAAACCCAGCACGTCAACATGATCTCGGGTTCTGTTTGTGGAGAAAAGGAGACATCAGAGCATTTCCACGCTGGTGAGAAACAGGGCTTTAGCACAAAAAAAAACCATGTCTCATGTAAATATATATTCAGATAACGAGGCTAGTGTTTGTGTACTTCTAGTTGCACCAAGATGTGAGCAGAATGGTCTGGGCCCTCCGTCCGTGGAGGTGAGCCTGGAGGATGTGTCAGATGTTCAGATGGACGGCTTGGAGAGGACCTGCGATGGAAAATACAAGTGTAGCTATTGTAGCTATGCCAACAAGGGCATGGCTCGTTTAATAGAGCACATCCGCATCCACACAGGTCAGTGTATGCAGTATTCTAATATCATGAAATTGCTTTTTATATCTGTCACTTCTGAAATAAAGCTGCTCCCAACATTCAAACAATGTGTTTCTCAGTTATGAAATTCATCATTTCACTGCAGTATGTTTGATTATATCAGGATTATAACTGAAAACATGTCGTCATCTAGGTGAGAAGCCTCACCGCTGCCAGCTGTGTCCGTTTGCCTCCGCGTATGAGCGCCATTTGGAAGCCCACATGCGCTCACACACAGGAGAGAAGCCGTATAAGTGTGACCTCTGCACCTTTCGATGTAGTGACCGCAGTAACCTGTCCCACCACCGCCGGCGGCGGCACAAACTCCTGCCCACGAGGGCGACCCGCTCTCCTTTCTCTAACAAGAGGATGCTGAGCTCTCTGCAGAAGAGGACTGGGTCATTGGGCTTCAGTCGGCGACTCCTGATCAACTTGAACCCTCCCTCCATGGTGATGCCACGGTCTGATTATTTAAATGATTTACCTCACAAGATCCACCACTTGAATAACAGTGAGTACAAAACTCCTCCCAAGGTGGATGAAAATGAGAGCCACAGCCAGAGTGCCAATGGTTTTAGAAATTCACTGGACCAGCTGTCTGCTCTTGCTGGCCAGTTGACCAGTCTTCATCCTGAACCTCAAACTACTGCAACCCCTGACCGGGAGTACCTAAAAGATGAGAAACCAATCCTGATACAACACATCTCCAGTGAACAGGTTGCAGTGTGTTCCAACAGAGTTCAGACATCTCCACCTAAAGATGAATCTCCAACCTCAGGACATGAAAGCTGCAGTCCGGTTCCTGGCTTCGGCACGGAGAACAACACAAACACTCTTACTGGAAGCATTAGCAACAGCCAGGCGAGCACACCCACACCTGCCCTGACGACAGAGCAACAGCTCTTACAGAAGTGCCAGCATTGTGACATCCACTTTTCTGATAATATCCTCTATACCATTCACATGGGCTGCCATGGTTATGAACATCCATTCCAGTGCAACATCTGTGGTCACATGTGCATAGACAAATATAATTTTGCGTGTCATTTTGCTCGTGGACAACACAAGAAGTGACAATGTGTGTTTTTAGTCCCCGGCTCTGGTTTAGAACTAAAGAAGAGACAGAACAGGCTTCACAGAGCAAAATCAGTTTTTAAAGGTGTGGATCTCCGAATTTTTTTTAAAATTATTATTTCTGATTATAATGGATCACTCTCAGTTTATCATGCAGGCTGAACATGAAAATATCTCCTACATCTATCTCCTGCATTAGCTTCTCATAAAAAATAGACGGTGAAACTCTAGGATTAGAAAAGCCGGACAGATCTACGTCACACTGTCACTTAATATTCATGGACTCACCCACCTTGGCTCACGACGGGAAGGATGTTGTTGTTTTTAACGTCCAGGAAACAGAACGTTCTGACTAGTGGAAGCTAACCATTAGCATTAGCAACACCACCACACAGAAAATCTCCTCCAGACTTGTGTTATTTGTGGAGATAAAACATCAACGTTGCAAGTCAGTGGTAGACTCGTGTTAACGTTTTCCAATCCGAGATGCCCAAATATCAGGAAATAAGATTCTAAAACGTGTTGTATGATGCTACGTTCTCCTCCAGCTGACTTCTTTCAACAGGTGCACCAAACTTGTCGTGCTGGTCCAAGCAATTCTGGGCTTTTTTTGCCCCGAGTACGGCTTGCAAGGCACCCGTTCCTACTAGAGACCTCTGCAACATGAGTTTCCCACACCTTTAAAAGACTAGATTTGATCAGTGAATCCTGAGAATACCTAGGTGGCTGGATGTTACATTAGCAATACTTACTTACTGTAGAATTGACTAGAATCATTTATAAACTTGGTTTAGAGACACACAATCTGTATTTTCATTTAAAAGAGGCTACAGAAAACTTCAGAAAGATTCATAAATGTGAAGAGAACTAAGAAGGACCTGCTTTAACTAATAATTTACCTAATTTAGCATCTTTAAAAGCGGAGCAGTTTCCTAAAACCTTGTGAACTAATTTAATAAAGCACCACCTGCGCTGTACTGAGACCTTACTACTAAAATATTTATACAGTTTTCCTGTTTTTGCATGGATCCACATTTATCAACATTATATATATATATATGTTCCTTTCCACACTTTTGTGTACAAAATAACTTGATTTGTAAAGTTTGAGAATTGTAATCACGTTTTTACAGACAGCTAATTGAGCATCCTTTTATTTTTGACTAAATCAGTATTTTAATATCTAACTACTTACATGATATTGTAGGTAAGTGCTCTAATAACACACCAAAGTTTGGTTTTTAGGTGGACACGTCAGTGGTACATCTCTGGAAGTCTGGAAAGACTACTCACGGTTCTGATTATTATCTATACCTCACGACCATTTCCCCTGTCTGTGTAAGGAACTTTTGTATTTTTTTACGATACTGATGTAGTAGTTTTGTGGTATTATAGCCATTTGTGGTACAACATTAAAATGACTGTTTAGTAGCGAAGCTGAGACACTTTAAATCTCTGTAACTCACATTATTACATGTAATCACCGGGTGAAGTGGTGAACTTGTTTGTACTTGATGACTTAATTGCTTGAAAAGGAAACATTTAGAAAACTATTCCTTATAGTTTGTCTCGTTTGTGGACACTGTAGATGCTTGACATACATTTTGAAAAGAATGTGCTCTTTTTTTTCTAACAAAGCTTTTATTAATAAATTAATTAAATTTGCTTACTGACGGAACATACATGGAAAAACATTTTATTTACATGGCATTACATAAACGGCATCATATCCTATCTTGGATGTAATATTTGAAATGTTTTAGAAAATTTTAATTATTTAAAAACGTTGCCAGGATTTTTATTTTGTTCTGGTCAAAAACGCTTTCTACTGCCCTTTTCACCATGCGGTCCACGTCGATGTCCTCATTTTGAATGAACAGAACTTCTTGAAGAACATTTTTCCGCAGATCGTGAAGAAATGTAGTTTTAGCTTCATTCAGCTGGGCCGCCAACGATCGCAAGAGTTCAGAAGGGACGTGATCATCTAGAATGAGAACAGCAAAATCAGTGCACTGAAAGGTGACAAACGCTTAAACAACTGGCGTTTGTGTAACTGACCTCTGGCTGTCATCATGGCTTCAGATATGAGGCGTCGACAGGCCTGGTCCGCCTGATGGACCACACTAGTGGCACATTTTAGACGATCCACTTCCTGACACGTATAAGACAAAACAGCAATGAGCGATCCACTTTTACAGCTTCAAATCACGTTTTCACCATCATTTGTCTGATGTGAGCTACCTTTTGTTCAGCGTTGTCCTCAATTGGACTCAGAGGATTATTTATGGCAGAAGAGATCAGCTCAATCACTTTCTGGCTGATGATGTTACACAGAAATAGAAACTTTAAAAAATCCCTGATTTACACACTAGAATTCTACTAAGTGCAACAAATGTTTGTTCTGCAGTCTTACACGTCACTTTGGGAGACATCGCCAGCTGTGTTGAGTGTGAGGGTTTGTGTTTCCCACAAGTTCTTATGAGGATCTGGAGGCTGCAAACGCTTGTCCATCTCAAGCAGTACGCTAGTGGGAACGGGTCGAGACCTGCCTTGGTTTCTACTGATGCAGGACTCCAGGTCACACTGTAGATACACCTGGCAGAACCCCAGTGATCCTGTAACAACAGCCAACACCTTTAAATGTTTGTTTAAACTACATAATGAGGATCAGTGGGAAAGCACTGTGGTTAAAAAGGCCTTACGTTTTCTTGCTAATTGGTAGACTTCATATCTCATACTTGGATAGTAGAAGTTGTCATCTAGTAGAAAGAGAAGAGGCCTATTATCAGATTTCAAGCCTTCTGACTGCAGGAGGGCTTGCGTAGACTGATCCCATGGAGCAACGTTGATCAGAGAGCAACTTGGGAGATCCAACATTTCACGCTTCTCCACAAGCCCATCAATGCACTGCAACACTGCTTGTCTGTGGAACTTCCAGTTAGTGTGCTAGAAGGGAAAATCAGTTTGTCACAGTGCTATAGTGATTACAGGAGAGCTTAATCTAAGTGCAATGCACGCACGTTTTAAACAAATTTAGTTCTAAAAGATTGTACATATTTCAAAGTAAAACAGTATATATAAATGATGCCATTTGTGTGCGTTTTGCCAATCATAAAAATGAAAACGACGTACAAACATCTTAAAACAGATCAAGCTTAGATTTTTACCAGTCTTACTGTTTGCCAATTTTAATTCTGAAGAGCTGGTTTCATCTTAAAAGGAAGTCATTAATATTCCACAACAAAGAAAAATGGACATGTTCAAATATGTATTTCGTTTTTATAGATTTGTTATATTACATTAGACCATTTTAAATTCCAAACCTTCAAAGACGGATTTCCTACCATATCTTCCAGTTCAGCCTTGGTATGAAAAGCCTGATCGGGGATCAGCTCATCATACTGAACCACAGCGGCTCTCCATCCGAGCTCCGTAGCGGTGCTAGTGATTCTGCAGGCCAGTGTGGACTTCCCAGCTGCTGGCAGCCCACAGAGGACGCACAGACATGCTGAAG